TAACCTTGAGAATGATCCATGTGCTGAGGGGAAGAATGTGTATTCTGCAGCTGTTTAATGAAACGTCCTGTAAATATCGATTAGTTCTATTTGTTCTATAGTACAGATTAAGTCCAATGTTTCTTTGCTGATTTTCTCTCAGGAAGATATGTCCAGTGCTGCTAGTGGGGTGTTGAAATCTCCAGCTATTATTGTTGGAGTCTATCTCTCCCTATAAATCTAGTTATATAGTTAATAATATATACCCTCGGTGTGTGGTGCATATATGTTTAGAATTGTTATATCCTCTTGCAAACTGATCCCTTTATCATTATAATAATGACCTTCCTTATCTCTCTGTTTTGTTTTTTTTTTTTTTTTTTTAGAAATCTATTTATCTGATTATAGTATGGGTACTCCCGTTCTTTTTTTGGTTTCCATTTGGATGGAATACTTTTTTCCATTTTCATTTTCAGTGTATTTATGTCTTTATAGTGAAGTGTGTTCTTACATGCAATAGACTACTGAGGCTTTTTTTTTTTTTTTGAGATGGAATTTTTGCTCTTTGTTTGCCTAGACTGGAGTGCAATGGTGTGCTCTCAGCTCACTGCAACCTCTGCCTCCCGTGTTCAAGCTATTCTCCTGCCTCAGCCTCCCGAGTAGCTGGGATTATAGGCATGTGCCACCATGCCTGGCAAATTTTGTATTTTTAGTAGAGACAGGATTTCTCCATGTTGGTTAGGCTGGTCTCAAACTCCCGACCTCAGCTGATCTGCCTGACTTGGCCTCCCAAAGTGCTGGGATTATAGGCATGAGCCACTGCACCTGGTCAAGGCCTGTTTTTTAAATCCATTTAGCCAGTCTCTGTGTTTTGGTTGGAGAATTTAGTCCATTTATATTCCATGTTATTATTGATAGGTAAGGATTTAATACTGTCAGTTTCTTATTTATTTTCCGGTTGTTTTGTGGTCTTCTCTTCATTACTTCCTTCTTTTCTGTCTTCCTTTTTATGAAAGTGATTTTCTTTGGTGGATATTTTAATTTGTTGCTTTTTATTTTTTGTGTAACTGTTGTAGTTTTTTGTTTTAATTTAAATACCATGAGACTTGCAAATAACATCTTTTTTTTTTTGAGATGGAGTTTCTCTCTTGTTGCCCTAGTTGGAGTGCAGTGGTGCGATCTTAGATAACTGCAACCTCTGTCTCCCAGGTTCAAGCAATTCTCCTGCCTCAGCCTCCCGAGTAGCTGGGATTACAGGCGCCCACCATCAGACCTGGCTAATTTTTTGTATTTTTAGTAGAGACAGGGTTTCACTATGTTGGCCAGGCTGGTCTTGAACTCCTGACCTCAGGTTATCCACCCCCCTCGGCCTCCCAACCGGGATTACAGACGTGAGCCACTGCACCTGGCCTCAAATGACATCTTATAACCCATTATCTTAAGCTGATGACAACATAACTCCAATTGCAAAAACAATCAAACTAACATGCAAAGAGAAAACTAATAAAAACTCTATACTTTATCTCCCCACTTTTTTTTAATTTTCCATTTCTATTATACTGTATATGTCTTGAGAAGTTTCTGTACTTACTATTTTTGATAGGTTCATGTCTTAGTCTTCCTGCTCATCATATGAGTAGTTTGTACACAATAATTAGTGTTATGATATCCTGTAGTTGTCTGTGTATTTACTATTACCATTGAGTTAGGTACCTTCAATGATTTATTTCTCGTTAATATCCTTCTCTTTCCTATTGAAGAGCTCTCTTTAGCATTTCTTGTAGGACAGGTCTGGTATTGGTGAAATCCCTCAGCCTTCTCTTGTCTGATAAAGTCTTTATTTCTTTTTTATGTTTGAATGATATTTTTGTTGGATATAATTTTCTAGGACAAAAGTTTTTTTCCTTCAGCACTTTACACATGTCATGGTTCTCTCTCCTGGACTGTAAGGTTTTCACTGAGAAGTCTATTACCAGATGTATTGGAGCTGCATTGTATGTTATTTGTTTCTTTCCTCTTACCACTTTTTGGATCCTTTTGTTATCGTTCACCATTGGGAATCTGATTATTAAATGCCTTCAGGTAGTCTTACTTAGGTTAAATCTGCTTGGTGTTCTAAAACTTTATTGTACTTGAATATTGATACTGCTCTCTAGGTTTAAAAAGTTCTCTGTTATTATCTCTTTGAGTAAACTTTCTACCCTGATCTCTCTACCTCCTCTTTAAGCCTAATAATTCTTAGTTTTGCACTTTTGAGGGCATTTTCTAGATCTTGCAGGTATGCTTCTTTCTTTTTTATTCTTTTTACTGTCTCTTCTGCCTGCATATTTTCAAATAGCCAGTCTTCAAGTTCACTAATTCTTCCTTCTGCTTGATCCATTTTGCTGTTGAGAGACTATAATGCATTCTTCAATTTGTCATTTGATTTTTCAGCTCCAGAATTTCTATTTGATTTTTAAAAAATTATTTGAATCTCTGTTAAATTTATCTGATAGGATTTTGAATTCCTTCTCTGTGTTATCTTGAATTTCACTGAGCTTCCTCAAAACAGCTATTTTGAATTCTTTGTCTGAAAGGTCAGAGGACATATTTGTGTCACTCTGGGATTGGTCATGGTGACTTTTTTGTTTCATTTGGTAAAGTCATGCTTTCCTGGATGGTCTTGATGCTTGTGGATGTTTGTCAATGTCTGAGCATTGGAGAGTTAGGTATTTATTCGTATCTTCAGAGTCTGAGTTTGTTTATACTCATCCTTCTCAAGAAACTTTTCCAAGTATTCAAAGAGAATTGTGCTTTGATTTAAGTCTTTCGTCACTGTCACCAATCTGCATGAGGGGTCACCCCAAATCCCGTAATACTGTGACTCTTGTAGACTCATCAAAGTACCACCTTGGTGGCCTTCAGTAAGATCAGGTAGAATTTCCTGGATTATACCAGGCAGAGTCTCTTGTTCTCTTCCCTTGATTTTCTTCAAACAAATGGAGTCTCTCTTTCTATGCTCTAAAATTTGGAGAGTGGTGATTCATGCACTCCCATTGGCCACCACCACTGGGACTGTGCTGGGTCACAACTGAAGCTAGAACAGTACTGGGTCTTGCCAGAAGCCCATGGTGACTACTGCCCAGCTATGACTGATGTTTATTCAAGGCCCAAGAAGGGCTTTTTAGTCAGCAGATGGTGAATCCTGCCAGTCCTGTGTCTTCCTCGTATGGGCAACAGGTTCCCCTCTGACCCAGGATGGCTCTAGAAATGTCATCTGAGAGCCAGGGCCTGAAAGAGGGGATTCAAGATTCTGATTGGTGCTTAATTTTACTGTGGCTGAGCTGGTATCCAAGTTGCCAAAGTTCTCTTTACTTTCCCATCTCTTCTCCTCAAGCAGAAAGAGTCTCTCCTCGCTCTGTGAGCTGTGCTGCCTGAGGTTGGGGGATAGGTGGCACAAGCACTCCTTTAGACACCCCAGCTGGTATCTCACTGGGTCACCTGCACCCCAAGTCTACTGGCTCCAAGCCCAACACAGCACCAAGACCTCCCAGGAATTGCAGTCCTTGTGGCCTAGACTGCCTTTCAGGTTTATTTAGGACCTGGAGCACTTTAGCCTGCAGTGATGGGACTTGTTGGAACTCAGGTTCTGACCATTTGGGGTGAACTATTCCCCGCTGGCTGGGGCTGGTCTAAATCCTCCCTGTTTGGATGCTGGTTGAATTCTTCCCCATGTTGCTTTTCACTATGTGCAGCATTGACTTGAAATGCAAAACCCCACGGTCATTTCACTCTCCCTTTCCCAAGCACACAGATTTTCTCTCCATGCCACGCAGGGCTACCGGGGAAGGGAGAGGGGTGACATTGGCAATTCAAGACTGCCTTTCTTATCCTTCTCAGTGCCTTTTTCTTTGATATGATGTTAAAATCAGGTACTGGGATTGCTCACCCGATTTTTGCTTCTTTTGAAGGTACTTACTAGTGTGGATATTTGCTCAATTTTATGTTCCTGTTGGGGGGACAATTTGGAGGCTTCTCTTTGGCCATCTTGCTCCATCCTCCTCCCCCGTTACAAATTTCCAGTTTTGGCACTCATATTATGAGGCTATGAAAAGTTCTGTGGTTAAAAATCCACTTTGATTAACGTGATATTTTCAAATTAATGTGATCATAGAATCATATTTTAATATGACACAACCTCCCGCGGGCCTACTGGGAAATCTAGTAAAAATAAATAATTAGAGGATTCCATCTTCTAATCCTGGCATTTGGTGCAACATCCAGAACTATAATTCTGACTTGACTGAAATTAAATAATTGATGAGAATACTTGGACTAAGAATTAAAACATAAAATATTGTAGCCATACCTGTTTCCTATTCTAGCTCAGAGAATGTAGCTGTAGTCAATTGTATCTCTGGAAGATTTCTAAAAAATATCACCTGCCACCCCCAAAATGGAAACATTGTAATAATCGATGTTCATTGTATGTCAAGTATGGATAAACTGAATCCCTGGGGTGCTCCATGCCACAGGTGGACTTCTTTTATTTTTTAGGGGGGCAGAGTGGTATAAATTGTAATTTTTTGTTTTTTGAGACAGAGTCTTGCTCTGTTGCCTAGACTGGAGTGCAGTGGTGCAATCTCGGCTCACTGCAACCTCCACCTCCCAGGTTCAAGTGATTCTCCTGCCTTAGCCTCCTGAGTAGCTGGGATTACAGGCATGCACTACCATGCCCACCTAAGTTTTTTTGTATTTTTAGTAGAGATGGGATTTCACCATGTTGGTCAGGCTGGTCTTGAACGCCTGACCTTGTGATCTGCCCGCCTCGGCCTCCCAAATATACAACTTGGAAAGGATTTGAGGCAAATTGTGCCATAAGCAGATTGTCTTTAAGTGGCTAAACAAAGTTTTAAAAGCAAGTAAAGAAATGGTTCTGGTACAGTACCAGCAGTACAAAAAAAGGGTGTACAAGTACCTGGATAATACACCCACTTTGCAATAGTGCAGCTTTTAAGTACATATTGTTGACTACCCATAGTTCACACAGAGTTACAACTCCACACTTCAACAACAACATGCTGACAGTTCCTAAAGAAGACTACTTTAAAAAAAGGCATAACTCAGATGTTCCCTCATTTGACCAACTCCATGTAAGTTTAGATGTGCAGAAGGGTTTAGATATATCCAGAGTAAGCCACATGTAACGTGTTACTTGATCAATTTTCTAAAAGAAAGTTTCAGGACAATGACAGTAAGATAAGGGAAGAAAACATGGAGGAATGAAGTCCTAATTACTATACATGCATTTTTTTTTTACAGTAGGGAGAAACCTTTTACAGATAAGTTACAATCAAGGAAAAGGCAAATAAACAATTCTGTACAAGAAATTTAACACATTTGTACAAGGTCTTCACTTTGCTTTCATCATTTGTACAAACTCTTTATAGTTTACTTGACCATTGCCATCAATATCTGCTTCCCTGATCATTTCATCAACTTCTTCATCGGTTAACTTCTCTCCAAGGTTTGTCATCACATGAGAAAGTTCTGCAGCACTAATATAGCCATTGCCAACCTTATCAAACACACGGAATGCTTCTCTGATTTCTTCTTCACTGTCTGTGTCTTTCATTTTTCTTGCCATCTTTGTCAGAAATTCAGGGAAGTCAATTGTGCCATTACCATCAGCATCTACTTCATTAATCACGTCCTGTAACTCTGCTTCTGTGGGATTCTGTACAAGGGACCTCAGTACAGCTCCCAATTCCTTTGTTGTTATAGTTCCATCACTATCTTTGTCAAGTAGTGAAAAAGCTTCTTTGAATTCTGCAATCTGCTCTTCAGTCAGTTGGTCAGCCATGCTACAAGTGCTACCGGTTTCAGAGACTCAACCACACGGACACTCGGCTCGCTCATTCCACTGGGACTAATTCTCCACAGGTGGACTTCTAAAGATACATGCAAAACCCTACTTCTAGGAATATATCCTATAGATATATTCACATGTAAAAAATGATATGTGCACTTTTATTATAGTGCTTATTTGTAGTAAAGAATGAAAACAAAGGATCATCAGTAGAAAACCAATTTAAAGTATGATATATCCTCTGGTTGTTATTAGAGATGTTCAAATATTTTCAGCATTTCCTGGTTCCATTTTGGTTATAGGTGGCCATGTGACCTCTTTGTCCAATGTTGTAAACAAAAATGACATCTGCCACTTTTAGACTAAATTATTTCATTTCAGTGATTCTTTCTACAGTTCTCTTTCCTACTGCCAAAGTGACCAGATAGAGCCAGATACATTTGTCTGGGTTCCCTAGTAGTGTAGACATGAAATAGAACTTCTGGTCAACTCATGATAAACATGTAGCAGGAGCTAGAAATAAAACTTTGTGGGTTGGGCACAGTGGCTCACGTCTGTAATCCCAGCACTTTGGGAGGCCGAGGCGGGCGGATCATGAGGTCAGGAGATCAAGACCATCCTGGCTAACACAGTGAAACCCCGTCTCTACTAAAATATAAAAAATTAGCCAGGCGTGGTGGTGGGGGCCTGTAGTCCCAGCTACTCGGGAGGCTGAGGCAGGAGAATGGCGTGAACCCAGGAGGCGGAGCTTGCAGTGAGCCGAGATCGCGCCACTTCTCTCCAGCCTGGGCGACAGAGCGAGACTCCGTCTCAAAAAAAAAACAAAACAAAAAAACAACTTTGTGGTTTTAAGCCACTGAGATTTGAGGATTGTTTGTGACTAGAACATATCCTAGGCTATGCTAACATTTAGTTGAATGTGAAGCAAGTTTTTTTAAAAAAGTAAACTGTTTATTATGGAGTGATGTCCAATATATATTGTCAAATACCTATTTTTAAGTGGAAAAGCAAAGGTCTAGAACAGTATATATAGTATAAAATATCTGTGTGTGTATATGTGTGTGTGTGTGTGTGTGTGCTGTGTCTGTTATATATAACATAGAACATCTCTGGAAATATACCCAAGACCCTGGAAATTTTGTCTGTAAGGAAAAGTACTTGATGGAAAACAAACATTGGAGAAGACCTTTTACTGTATACTTACCTGCATTTTTAATTGTGCGAAAATATGTATTAAAAATTATATTTAGGGAATTATATGTAAAGATTTTATATGAATCCTTCATTAGAAAAACCAAGTTTTACGGCCCCCTCTAAATGCCAGTTTGGCAAAGGTGACATTGAAGTGGGATTTTTTTGCGCCTGTGATTTGAAATTTTATCACTATTGTTATATTACTCAGGTCAAATCATAAGTAAAGACTAGGAATTAAAAGGAAAGAAAGGCATTAGCTATCTTTTTGGAAAGAAAGTCTGCAAGTACTAATTGATTCAAAATTGCTATTTGAATGTAAATACATGTGTTCTCTGTCCATTATAAAGATGTTATAAAGTTGTTCAAGTTATTCTCTTATATTCCCAAATCTCTATTGTATCTTTAGCCATTCCATTTCATTTTTAACAATTTTCATTTGTACTTTTCTTTATTTCCCTTTAAACAGTATAGTTAGAGGTTTATCTTTATTTTTTGTTTGTCTTTTCAAAGAAACATATATCACTTTTATTCCCCTATTGTTTCATTGTTTGTTTCATTAATTTCTACCTTTTTTTTTCTTTTTTCTTTTTCTTTTTCTTTTTTTTTTTGAGATGGAGTCTCACTCTGTCATCCAGGCTGGACTACAGTGGTGCAATCTCGGCTCACTGCAACCTCTACCTCCCGAGTTCAAGCGATTCTCCCACCTCGGTCTCCTGAGCAGCTGGGATTACACGCACTTGCTATCATGATCAGCTAATTTTTGTATTTTTTGTAGAGACAGGGTTTCACCGTGTGGGCCGGGCTGGTCTCGAACTCCTGACCTCAGGTGATCCACCCGCCTTGGCCTCCCGAAGTGTTGGGATTACAGGCATGAACTACTGTGCCTGGTCAATTTCTGCCCTTGTATTATCTCCTTCTCTCTGCTTTTAAAAAAGATTTTCTCTGATGTTCTTTTTCCAATTCCTCACAAAGGATGGGAACTTACGGTTTTTAATTTACTTATTTGGATGTGATTTTTTATGATCTTTATTTTGACACAATTTAAAACACAGGCAAGTTCCAAACATAGTATATATAACTTTTCCATAGACTTTACCCAAATGCACCAATTATTTACCTTTGCCCTGTTTGCTTTATCATTTGCAGTCCCCCTCTGTCCACATATATGCACATATTTATGTGTGTGTGCTTGCTTGTGTGTGTGTGTACTTAACTAATTTTTGGTCAGCTTGATCTATCAGTTTTTGAGACAGATGTTTTAAAATCTCACACTATTGTGTGGTTTTATTCATTTTTTTCTTATAATTCTAATGGTTTTGCGGAGTAGTATATTATCAGGTGCATAGAATTTCTGTATTGTTACATGCTTTTTATGAATGTTGCCTTAAATCCTATTTTGAATTATAATAATATCATTTCACTAGGTTTTTTGGTGAATGTTTCACTATTATGTCTTGTTTTTATCCCTTTATATTCAACTTTTCTATGTTGTTTTGTTTTAGGATGTCTCTTATAAGCAGCATAGAGCTAGACTTTGTTTTCTAAATCTAGTTTTGTTCTCTCTCTCTTTTATAGATGTGCTAAACCCTTTATTTGACCAAGAAGATATCATATGTTATAAACTTTACCATAAATCTGGTGACAGATGAAGAAGGAGAAACCAATGTGACTATTCAACTCTGGGATTCTGAAGGTAGGCAAGAAAGACTCATTGAAGAAATCAAGAATGGGAAAGTCAAAGTGCTCAAACAAAAGGACAGTCTTCTCCAGGCATCAATGCCTATTGATAGAAATATCCTAATGCTTGTATTACCACTAATACTATTGAACAAATCTACATTTAGTTGTAAGATTGAATTACAGGTGTTTCAAACAGTATGGAAGAGACCTTTGCCAGTAATTCTTGGGAAAGTTAACACAGTTTTTTTGTTGTTGTTTGTTTGTTTGTTTAATGCCATTTTGTGGATTTCTTTTGTCTCAGATTGTGGCATTGCCTGAGGCACAAGCTTTTGGATTTGTAATGAACTGCACGTGCCCAGGAGGTGTGGGGGCTATCTCTTTGCTCTGCTTCTACATGGAACTTTCATGCTGGCCATTTTGATGACTTACACACTAACATTATTGCCCCTGATCACGATGCCTGTCAATTTTATATATACAGTAATATATTAGGGTTGTCAGGTACATTTCATATCCCTGTTTCTAAAATTGTGTCAACACTCCTTTTCATACTTTATCAGTATCAGTTGAAAGAGTCATCAAGCGTAGAATACCTGAAAGAGCAAACTTCTTAGAATAATTAGACCTCTGAGTTTTCTTTTAATGTTCATAGGGATTTATTTGACTTTCAGAGTTCGATTAATGTTTCTAAAAACAGATAACCTAGAAGTGCTTTAGTTGAGTCTCTTAGTTCCTGCTTCACATTTCTCATTTGGGCACTTTTTTGCTAAAGTTTGTATGCTGTGTCTTCTTGACTGTTGCTATTGACAGTTGGTTGTTAAATAGTTTCTTAGCCCTTGCCATTATTCAGCTGTCTTTTCCAAGTCCAAGGCAAACTTAGCCTCTGTGGCTCCTTTCACAGGAGCCATGTGTTCTGGATGTGAAATGTTACTGTTCCTTTTGGTCTTACAAGGCTAAGAAAAGCTGTACCCTTATCTTAGAAGATAAGAGAAAAAGAAATTGCCAAGCCTAACAATTAAAGCATTGCTGAATTCCTACTCATGCACTGTGGGAGAGTCAAAGAATAACTAAAATGATGTCCATTCATAATCCACTTATGATCTAATAAAAACGTTGACATGGGGTGAGGAAGAATACATGTGTGTATATACTCAACACCATAAATGTTAAGCATCCAATGAGTGCTTCCAACAGTAGAATGCTACACAGGGGATCAGAGGAAGGAGGTAACTTTTCAGTTCTGTTGGTTTGAGAATGTTTTATGGAGTACAATGTGAATATGATATTATTTTGGTAGCAAAATGTAAGATCTTATTAGCTGTCCTGGACACTCCACCCCTGACCAGCTGCCTTGGTGTATATATAATTATATAATTATATTAGGTGAGAGTCCACTTAAATCATTAACTATTAACTGAGAATATCTTGGCATGTAGAAACTAAAACTTGTTTTAAGGAAGAGAGAGGTCATTTAAAAGAAGTCAACTCCAAAGACTAAGCGCAGTTGGCAAGATGCCCGTGAATTCTAGGGAGGGAAATTGCCCACTCATTTCTGTGGTGGACTCTCTTTATTATGGAAATACAGGGCAAGTAAGCACTGTCATCCTTGCCTTTGGGAAAGGATAACAGACCTTCTTGTGGCTTCACAAAGGCCACCCTTCCCTAGAACTCTCTTGTGTACACTCAGCTGTCTGGGGAGGTGTCAGGGGCATTGGATCTCACCTGCCTTTCATTCTGAGATTCAGCGTAATTACAACCTCTCTCATAGATGGGAGTCAGCTGACAAGAAAGGATACCAAAGGCCTCCAAGAGGGAACTTCCCTTAGGGAAGGTCGGAAGAGTGAGGAGCTGGACACCATGCCAGGAAGCAGAGTTTGTGCTGCTGGTCCCTGCCCCCGATGACACCTGGGCACAGCAGATGTTCTTAGGGTTAGGAACAGTGGCTGCAGATTGGACCAGAGTTTTAAACATTGCCCCTTTGGGAACTCAGGGGTAACTCATCCTGTACTGAGGTCTCTGCAGCTTTCTGAACTACTTTCACAATTTTGGACCAAAGATCCCTTGGATTTGTGAGACCAGTTTGCAGCTTTGCCACAATCGAATCTGAACACTGAGACTTCCCTGTGTACCGGCAGATTTTGCATTTCACTTTCTTTCTTTCTTTTTTTTGTTTTTGTTTTTGAGACGGAGT